ACTGAAATGTGATAAACTGATATCCAGATACAAAGTAATACTTAAAAACTTTAAAAACTTGGATATGAATACATAGATACATTGAGGTTAGGAACTCCTTGAACATTTTCTGCACAATATGTGATTTTTGTAAAGCATGTACTTCTCTGATAGCTGTGTCGAATGAAGAATCAAACTTCAGAGAATGAGAAATATTTCTATTGATTCCATAGTTTTTTCATGATAAGGCATGTCATTATTCAACTATTCTCTTGAGATATAAACATTTCTAATTATTGTCATATTTATAATATTCTTAAGCCTACTTCTTCATGTGTTGAGTAAATGTTGATGTGCAACACCCTTGCAAAGAAGTTTAATGAAAGGTTTTCATATATATGTACGTCTAGTTGCTATTTTTCTTGGAAAAGAATTATTGAAACAATTTGCATTGTCTTGCTGCCTCTCCAGGCCCTGCCTGGACACCTGTTCCTTGTTTGTTTGTTTGTTTTCTCAAGGCTAATGCTCTGCCACTTGAGCCACAGCTAGACTTCTGTCTTTTTGGTGGATAATTGGTGATAGGAGTTTCACAGACTTTCCTGGGCTGGCTTCAGACAATGACCTTTAGGCCTCAGCCTTCCAAATAGCTAGGATTCCATGTGTGAACTCTCACTGGTACCTGCTAGTTTTATAGTATTTATTGTGAAGATCTTGCACCTACTTTGTTAAACTAATTTCTAAGTACCTAATTATTTTCGATGCGATTGTAGATGGAATTATTTCTCTTGAAAGTATAAGCTAAATTTTCACTGCTACTTAAAATGTAACTCTACCCAAAATACTGAGAAGTCATCTTCTATTTCAATACACGTGTACCTGTACAATGTATTAATCAAGAGAAATTTAGCCCCCTCTTTGTGTGAAATCTTTGAAAATCCTATCTCCACACATTGTGAGATGTGCAAGAATACATCATTGTTATCTGTGGTGTCCATATGGTGAGACTGCACACACTAGAATTTATGACACCTCTCAAAGGATATCTGTATGTATCGATCATCTTTTCCAGTTTCCTTCATTCCTCATTCTTCTTCAGCCTCTGGTAATCCCCATCCCCACCCTCAGCTTCAGGAAGATAAATTTTTATAGTCTACATATAAGTGAGCATGTGTGGTACTGGTTTCATTTACCCAACATAATGATCTCCACTTGTGTTGTTGCACAGGTCAGGATTCTCTTCATTTTTATGGCTGAGTAGTATTTCCTGGTATATTTGTTCCATACAGGCTTTCTCAATTAATCATGTAACAGACAGCCAGGCTGTTGCTATTTCTTGCTATTGTGAATTGGGCTGCAGTGGATCGGAATGGTTACATGTCTCTTTGCACACAGATTGAGCTTTTTTTTGGGGGGGAGAGATATATTCCTCATGGTGGGGGTGCCACATGACAGTGATATTTTAACTTGCTAAGAAACTTTCACATATTTTTTCTTGATTCTTGTATTCATTGTGCTTTCTAATATTCCTACCATTAGTGCATATGTGTTTCTTTTCTTTTCTTTTCTTTTTTTTTACAAATTCTTTCCAGAGGTTGTTATATTTTTTTGTCATTTTGAGATTACTTATTCTTACTTGAGTGTAGTAATACCTCACTGTGGATTTTTTTAAAAAAATAATTATCTAGTTGTAAAAAGGCATTGTACAAAGGAGTTGGCATTTAACAAAGTAGTTTATGGATACAATGCATCATGACCAGTGTCACCCTTCAACACGCTCACCCCACCTCCAGCCCACCTCTTCCCTTAACGTTTCTTCATTTTGTAGTATATACAATGAGTTCTTGACTGCATTCTCATCCCTCAGCACCCTCAATTTGTCTACCCTCTTGCTCTGCTCCCTTCATTGCAGGTACCCATTTGGTGCTTTTTGTTGGGCTTTGATTGAGTCTTTCTAAAAAAAAAATTATACTGTTTGAACTCTCCATTGAGACTATTATCTTTCAGTAATGCATTTGTAACCACTTTCACACAACTCAGGGTGTTTACTTATTGATTTATAGGTATATTATATCTACCATGCAAACTTTATTTCTCTTGGTCTGACTTACTTCACTCAGAATAATTTTTTCCAAGTCTTTCCCTTTCCTTAAGAAGGGTACATAACATTCTTTCTGATTGATGAGTAAAATTCCATTGTGTCTATATGCCACATTTTTTTGCTTCATTCATCCATTGCAGGACATTGGGGTTGATTCCATATCTTGGCTATGGTGAATAATGTTGCAATGAACACGGTTGTGCTGGTGGCTTTACTGTAACTTTATGATCTATTGGAAAAATACCCAGGAGTAGAATTTCTCAGGTAACTAGTCATTCATATTGAATATTTTTCCATGTTGGCCATTTGCACATCTTGTTTTTTTCCCGAGAAATATCAGGAAATGCCATTAAGTTTGTGGAGATCCTTAAATGATGTGAATATCAACTTCTTGCCAGATGTATAGTTTCCAAATATTTTCTCCCATTCTGTGAGCTCTTTCTTCACTGGATTGAATGCTTTCTTGGCTATGTGGACCTTTTAGTTCCATGCATTCCTATTTTTCTCTTTCTGCTTTTGTTTCCTATGCATTTGGGGTCTTACACCTAAAAATGATTATCCACTCAAACGTCCTAAAGCATACCCTTTGTGTTTTCTACTAGAAGTTTTATAATTTCAGGCCTTCTATTTGAGCTGCTAATCCATATAGAGTTTTGGAAATTGATGGACATAAGATTCTCAGAGATCTAAGTAGCATATATTGAAAAGATGGACCTTTTTCCAATATTGCGTTCTTATGATCTAGTTTTGAAAAGGTGTGGCTATACCTATGTGGTATACTCTTAGTTTTGTATTTATGCTGATGGAATGCTGCTTACATTACCTTACATTTACTCTGTATTTTGAGGTCTAACAGTATAATGCATCCTGCAGTATAATGCCTCATTTGGGTATTTGGGTTTTTTCTTATTGTTGTTCCACACAAATTCTAGAACTCTCTTTCAGTTACATGAAGAATGCCCTTCTGTACATTATGACAAGGGTTGCACTGAATCTGCACACTGCTTGGGAACCTATGGATATTGTAATACTATCGACTTCCACTTCAGGAACACTAATATGTTTCTACTTTTGTTTCTTTTTCAGTAGCTTTCATTAAGATTTTCTAATTTATACTGTATAGAATTTTCAAATTTTAGGTTATATTTTTTCTTGGGTAGTTTAGTTTTAGTTGTTATTTATAAATGAGTTGTTTTCTTGATTTCTATTTCTGATAACTGGCTATTTGCAATGGCATCACTACTGATTTTTGTACATTAATTTTGTCCCTTGTGACATTGCTAAATAAATTTATTAGTTCTAGTAACTTGTGGTGAAGTTTTCAGTAAATCTAAGATTGTGTCATCTACAAAGAGAGATAATTTAACTTCCTTTTTCTACTTTATTTGTCCCTCTTGCCTAATAAAAGTGATAAAATGGGCATCTATTTTTTCTCAGATCTTAAAGAGAAATACATTGGCCTTGCCCAATTCAATATGATTCTAGCAGATGGCTCAATAGAAGCAATTGCTATTATTCTGAAGCAGATTTTTTTCTATACCTAATCCAGTCAACCCTGATAAGCTCACCTTGTTTGAAATGTTTCAGAGAAAGCATTTAGTTTCCAGTATGTTGATTTGCATGTTATACTGCTCCTTTGTCAAGTTGAGGAAGTCCTGTTTATTGGTATAGCTACTGTTGTGAGGATGTTCAGATATGTCAAATGCTTTTTGCATCAAATGATGTACTTTCCTTCCTTACAGGACTGATAGGGTTGACTGCATTCACTGTCTTCCAAATATTTAAAACAATAATAATAATATCTTTTATTTTGGTTATATTTCATCTTTCACGTCATCTACCAACAAAAGCGGAGCTTCGGTTTTAATTCTATACTTTACTAGTTATAATTTACATTTCATGGAGGACCTCGTGAAACAAAAAAAATCACTTTGAGCTATGGCAAAGGAATATGTGTTCAGGAGTTCACACCATACTACAAGTAAAGATTAGGGAAAGTAGCCTGTTACAAACAAGAGCTTATAGACAAAGCACCGACTCCCTCTTTTACTGAAGGTCAGCATTCATCCTCTTGGCATCACACTCATAAATTCCAGGTCAATTTAGCAAAAAGCAAAGTAAGCAAATGAGTAGGCATGAGCAGTTTTAGTTAGCAAAGTGAGATGATCAGAGTTAAGCATGACATCCTAACATTACTCATACCAATCCAGTTGAAGCACATAAAACTGGAGCCTTTTGTGTTCACTTCACATACACAATAAGCTTTCCCTAAAGCCTCCGTTATTATTTAAAATTCACATCTGTCAAACCTTTAGTACTCTTTGCCAAAATCCATTATACAAAGAAAAAACACCATCTCATGGAACAAAACCTCTAAAAAACCTCTAACACGGAAGATGCCACAGATTCAAACGACAATGTGCTTGTGTCTCAGTGCTGTCAGAGCGCTTTACGAACTGACATGCTAACCTGAAATGCACTGGCTTGTAGCACTGAGAATCAGGGAAGGCAGCAAATTGCTCGAAGTTCTGTTTGGAAACGTCCCAGGAGTTTGGCTGTGCGTGGTCATGCTTCCTGCACATCAGCCCCATTATTGCACTAGCAAGTGCCTACAGCTACACTCTGCACAAAGCAGAGTACAAGTCAGGAGTTCAGCCTCAGCGTGGTTAGACACTGTTTACTTAACTCTCAGAGCTTGAACAGAAATCTCCAGGGTCCTCTGACCACCTGGGAGCACACTCTAGAGACAGACAGGTAAGAACAATCTCAAACATCCTAGAAATCAACGTGCTGCACTTCTTCCACCACATAGGGTCATTATACTAAGCCAAAGCCCACTCACATGTGATCCCCTTCTGTCTGGGTCATTGCTCTGGAAGCAACTGAGCTTCCTCGAGCTGTAGATAAACCTGTAATGTCTTACCTGACTCGCAGGCAAATGTCTTCGACGTTTCATCATGGAAGATAATTGCCACGGCGTGCTTCTTCGTTTCTCGAGGCAGTCTCGTTATATTTTTGATGTTGTGAAGCTCGGTTACCTTCAAGAAGAAAAGAATTTTTTCTTTTTGCTTCATATACACTGTATATTCTAGACTCAAAACTGAGACAAAGCCATCAGCTTTCCAATAAATAACTCTATTAATGCCTAGTTGATTTTAGCCCCAAACAGTGAAGAACAGAATATTTTCCACTATGTCTTTTTCTTCGCTCAGTCTTGTACTGCTTGCTGTGTTTGGAAACCATATAACATGAGGATTGCGTAGAGTAACTCCACACAGTACTTTATGAACCTGGCAGCCTCCATGACCAACTGGAACAACTGGAACAAAGACAATTCCCATTAAACAGCTGTAGAAGAGAGTTTGCTATCAGTAACTGATCTCTCCCTTCATGCCCGTCTACCGTACAGGCTCCAGACGAGATGACAGGCATGAGAGACTGAATGAGCACCTGCTAATGCTATTACCCTTCAGGAATTCAGTCATTTAGAGCAAAGCTTGTAATTAAGAAATAAATCATTTAGATAAATGGAAGCCTAGAAAGATCCAGAGCTAATGAGTGCTGCAACTCTTGCATGACAAGGAGTGGTATTGGTGGTGGTGAGATGGAGAAGATTTCAGCATACAGAGAGAGTATGTATGATACATGATGTATTTGTATTTTTCCCTCAATTAGGTTTGCGACAGCCACCTCCTTACCTACAAAAATGTCCCCTTCTCTGAGAGCTAGCATCTTTAGGATTGCGAGCATCATCTATATGTTTATGCACAATATGACTTTTCCTAAAATCATCTCAAAACCGATATGTTGATATTATCATCACGCTGATCAAGAGGAAAACCATCCCACAATGTACTCAAACGTGCAGGGTGCTGAGAGTGATTCTGTCCAGACAACTTCAACTGCTGGGTCTAACATAGGGTGCTGTTGTAGACAGGGATCCTGAATTGCTCAAGTAATGGTCAGTAACTTAAAGCACCTTAAGAAAACTTACCTAAAAATACCTTCATGGAAATGCATTGGTAGAACTTACAAACCAATAGGAATAGGTCATCAGTTGACGCTGAAGTCTTTATTGTTGAAGGTGATCTCTTTGGCATTGATGAAGACACAGTAGCACAGATATAGCTAAATTGATCAATGTGTGACTAAAGGTGTGTATCTACCATATAAAGGATACTGTAGGACAAAACTGTGGCCACAGTTTTAAGAGGTTCGTGCTATTTGTCATCTATCTTAAAATAGTGAGTGGCCTGGATTTATAGGCCATTACTCCTGGCTTCTTTCCAGGTGGTGTGGAACAGCGTCTTTACGCACTGACACAAGCAGCTCACAGCTCTGTCACAATCTAAGTGCGTTATTTCACTATGTCCCTTATTTATAGTGCTCTCTCTGCTTCTAGTCATCTCCCTGAAGATTATCATGCAAAATTAAGATGGGTAAGATCAGTAATTTTAGTAATAACAGACTGAAATTTTTGTGTGAGGTGTACATGCATACACAGACATATATGTACATGTATTTTGCATATTAAGTTACATACATCTATGTGTGCATACATATTTCCATCTATAAATACTAATTTTTACTAACATTTTAATTGATAAGTGTAAGAGAAGACTGAAACCGATACTGTGAATTTTATTTTTGGTACTCTCATAAGAAAAATAAAATGAGGAAATTAATGGATGGCCTCGGGAAATGTGGCAGGCACATGGGCCTGTCCAGCCTTAGGGCTTTGGGGAATCTGGTGTCTGATGCAGTTCTAGCAAAATGTTTGCTCTTTTGTAAAATTTACATTTAGAAATGGGTTTGCCTCTCCATGCTGTTCCTATGGCTTCCAGAATAAAATGGGCTTTTGTGGTTGGTTTCCAAGGTGGAGCTATCACCTCTTTGAGAGATTAGCAAATGACAAGCGAAAGTAAAAAGTACCAATGAGGAGTATACAATCTTGTTTGAAAAGACTTCTGAAGCACAGAGATGTAGGTTAAGACCATATTTGAATCTACTATTTTTGTTTTTACTCAATATCAGAATGGATTTATTGTCTTGATCCTATATATTGTTATACTTAGATGAGCACAACTTTTAAATGCAAATTTCTACAATTCTGAAAATAAAAAATGACTTTATGAGGCTAAAACTTGTCAATATGACAGAAAATTTTTGAACATTTATTAAGATTGTGAAATTTTAGAGCTTTTCAATAGTGAAGTCAGAAAATTTTTCATAATTCAAAATGTAACATTTTTTTCTGAAAAGTGATTTTCACAGGTTATAAGAACACTAAATGTTGGGGCTGGGAAGGTGGCTCAGGGGTAGAGCGCTTGCCTTGCATGCCTGAGGCCCTGGGTTCGATTCCTCAGCACCACATAAGCAAAGAGAAAAAAGCCGGAAGTGGCGCTGTGGCTCAAGTGGTAGAACGCTAGCCTTGAGCTGAAGACCTCAGGGACAGCACCCAGGCCCAGAGTTCAGGCTCCACGACTGGACCCCCCCCCAAAAAAAAAGAACACTAAATGTTGATTCTAATTTAATGAGCTCCTTGAAATTAATTATTTTAAATAACATGAATTGAAGGAAAAAATATCTAAAACTATTTCAGGATGTTCAGATCCAAATCGATAAATACCATTATCAACAGCTGAAAATATTATGATCTGATAAATGATAAAATTAGCACCCAAATATAAGTGAACTCAAATGAGGACTCGGATGATTGATGTTACTTATTTATTTCAAAGAACAATTTAAGCAATTCATGGTATTATATGCAGACATGTCAAAGATGAATGACATAATCTTTCTATAGAAATTTATGTCTTATTCAGGATGAAAGTTAAAAAATGACAGCTGTAAACCTTGTAATGGGAGTAAAACACTGAACTAAGACTGGTTAAAGGAAGACCTCTATTCTAACTTTGTATCTATTGTAGACATGATACTTTTAGATTTTAAGTAAGCAGATTTTTTTTACAAAAACATAATTTCCATGTTTTACTCTCACCCAATTTTATTTTTATAATGTTAAATTTCAAAAATAAAGTAGAATTTGTCCTCTTACAGGAAACTCAGTAAGTAGAGACAATTGTTAATCTGTGAACTCATGCAATGTATTTTTAAATTTTTGCATGAATGTTATCAACACAGGTTTTATTTATGTGCGGTTTTGCCATGGATTCTTAATGGTGAAGACCACAATGTGATTGTAAACTGATTATTGCTTTCAAAATCTATGGCAGAAGAAAGGACTGAGGAAGAAATTTCCTCTCTTAGGCTCAATGATATGAGGAAAGACATATTTAGATATTTTAGAAGTTATGAATAAAAAGAATACCAAACACCAGAGAGGGAAATGCTGTTATTCTTGTACCTCAAATGGTAATTGGATTCCATTTTTTCTGCTCTGAATAATGACAACATTTTACTTGTTCTAGTCACTTTGAGGAATACTATAGACTGAACAATATGGTAATATTTGCTCCAAGAAAATGCGAGTATTTTAAAAAATACCATGTATTTACTTATGTCTTTTTTCCCAAGTCTAACAGTGAAAGTTGAACTAAATACTAGTAAAGTATAAATTCAGATCTTATATTATAAAGTTATATTGACACAATTCACTATCATATGAGTAAGTGAAAAAAATCTAGCTATTGACACCATTATAAAATTGTAATCTTAACAGTTTGCTTCATGATTATTGAGAGTGAATGTCTGTCTGTTAAAGTGCTTGATGTTTTTTGCTAACCTAATTATCCTTTGAAAGGAAAATGAAATTTAACTTTTGTATTATTTTCAAGTGGAATCAAACATACTAGAACAAAAATTGCACTCTTCTCATCAAGCCTCCTAATATTTTATTCATTTTTTAATTTATAAACCATGTGACAAGTTTTTTTTTTGAGAAAAGGAAGATGTTAGGAGCAAGTTTAATAAAGCTTTATTAGGATAAGGAATTTTGATTTTCCCAATGAAAGACTGGATTGTACTGATTTATTACTATTATAATTATTATTATGCTTAATACATGCCAATCTTTCTAGGCATCACTTCTAAACTTTTCATACAATAATAAAAATTTTTGTATTATTTCATTCTTTGTATTCTTCAACAGTTGATGATAAATTTGCACATGTTCTATCATTTCCTTTGAACAAAACTTACATCAAGGGCTGGGAAGGTGGCTCAGTGGTAGAGTGCTTGCCTTGCATGCCTGAGGCCCTGGGTTCGATTCCTCAACACCACATAAGCAAAAAGAAAAAAGCCAGAAGTGGCGCTGTGGCTCAAGTGGTAGAGTGCTAGCCTTGAGCTGAAGAGCTGAGGGACAGCGCCCAGGCCCAGAGTTCAGGCCCCGCGACCGGACCCCCCCCCAAAAAAATTACATCAATATTTCCAGTGTCTGATTCCCTGTAATTGCCTTTTATTGCCAAGAAGAACAAAAATGCACTATTGAAAAAAACCAGTACAGTTCATGGATGGACACCCTGGGTCATGTAACTGACTATGCAACAAGCCCAATGTCAACGGTTACAAGCTTGGTCATTCACACCCTTGACCGCCATCAAGCATCTCAAATATTAAACCATATTACAAAATGCATTCCCTAGAAATGATTATGGATAAAATGATATGAGAACTGACATTAGAGCCCTCCCCTGCTTCCATGGGTTTGCATCTGATTGCTGTAAGGTAACTGAGTTTCAGGCGAGAAACAGAGAAGCCACATTGGGAGTCTTTATCGGAGAGCCTCTTGTCTCAACCACCTACAGCCCCCCGGAACAGAGCTCAACAAAGCTTTTAAAGACAAAAGCCACATGCACTTGAGTGGGGACACTTGAGCCCGACAAAAGAAGACCCTATTAGGAAGTAGCTCAGGTACCAGCAGACCTGTCCATCTGTGGAAACAGCTCAGGGTTCAGCTTAGACTTTCCATACCTGGGTGATATACCTCAAACTTTCCATACAGAGGAAGACTTAGTGGCTACTCAGGGGCAAGTGAGTCAATCCATGGAGGGAGGTCATTAAGGATGAGCATTCT